AGTAACCTGCCCACGCCCACACAGCTGGCTAATGGGAGAGAGAGGAGACAGGGCAAAGGCCCAAGAGGGGCTCCTACTGCATCCTCTAAGAGCGTTAGGGTCTGTGTGAGTCTCGGTTCCTCCGTCTGCAGATGCAGGCCAGGAGGCCCAAGCTGCCTGGGGCCCGAGTGAGCTCCTGTGAGGAGACGTACCAGGGCCTGGCCTGGCATCTCGTCCCGTCCTGCGGCAGGCCCAGCGTCCCTCCTCCCCCCCGACTGGGGACGAGGCTCGGCTCTGGCATGCTCAGTCTGAATCCTCCGCGGCCCCCAGCCCACCCCCAGGCCGGCAGTGACAGGGTGGGCGGCCCCCGAAGCTGAGCACACTCTGTTCCCAGGGTAGCCTGGGCTGGCAGCTGTGACCTCTTGGGCTGCCAGAGACAAGCGGCTATTCTCCTTCCTCCCACTCCATTTTGTTGTGTATCCTGTGGGCCACGGGGCCAGAGGGAAGTGCCACACCTCCCAGCAGCGCCCATCCCTCCGGCCAGCCCCAACGCAGCCTCCTGCCTCCATCCAGCCTCTAGAAGCCCAAGCCTCCGGTGCAGTTCACGCCAGGGGGACGGTAGCGGTACGATTTCTGCCCAGGTTCTGGGTCATCTGTTCATTCCACAGGCTGCATGCTGGGCCTGGAGAATAATGACAATGACAGCCACGAGGACAATGATCATGGCCTGGATGAGCAGCCACCGGCACTTGGCTTTGGATCAGAAAGGTTGAACGACGAGGCAGAGCACACCCAGCTGCAGGCGGGATCCCAGACCACACCTTCTGCCCCTCCATGCTGAGACCAGGGCCAGCGCACAGCCCTGGATGGGGACCCCCAGGGGGAGATAAGCATCACCTTCCAGAAACTTCCTGGGTGAACAGCCACGTGTGCTTGGCTTTGAATGTTGACAAACCAGCCTCTCCCATCACAGCAGGCTTCCGACGGCAGCCCTGCCCTGGGTCAGACCCTCCCGGTGACAGGCCTGGCTCCTTTGCCCCATCTACAGCTCTGGAGGTTAAGGCTCCAGGTGACAAACTGTCTGAGCCCAACAGCGAGGCCCGGGGCCCCAGGTCTCTGCCCCTGAGCTGCCAAGCAATGAGGAGGTGTTCCTGGGGGGTTGGGGGGGCAGCCGGGGAAGGACCCGTCCACCCCAAGGCTAGTGCCGCTTGTCCTGGCCACCTGTCCTCTCCCAGTTCCAAGCACAGGCCAGGTACAGAGGGGACACTCAAGAGCTGGGACGGGGAGGAGGGAGAAGCAGATGGAGCCCGTCCACGGGTTGCAGGCTCCAGCCCACCCTAAGGGTCAGACATCTCTGCGGAGCGTGGGGCGGTTTCCTCAGAGGAGGAAGGTAACACCATGACTCCCATGCCCAAGCGTCCCTTGGCGGGGACAGAAGAGCCCCCATGTGCACCAGAGAAGCATGAGCCCTGGCGAGGGAGGGGGACAGGGTGCCAGCTGAAAGGGGGAGGACTTCAACACAAGTGGAGCCAGCACAGCCCGCAGGACGCTCCAAGCTCCTGGCACCAGGAGCTGCGCGACATGGGGACGGGGTGCCCCTGCGGCTCCAGGGGCCTTTCTACACCAGGGCAGGTGGGGCCAGCCCGGAGACCCCGGCTCTGCACCCTGGGAGCCCCCAAGTCAGTGCATGGTCCGGGCCAGGAGCCTCCATCTCCATCTGAGCAAGGCAACCGTGCGTCATCTAAGGTCCTGAGCACCCTCACCCGATCCCCACCGCGCCCCACTGCAGGGGTCTCATCCCATCTCACAGGTCAGGACACTGAGGCTCAGAGAGGCCAAGCCACAGCCTGGAGCCACAGCAGGACAGACCCTGGGCGGGTGCGGGTGCAGAGGAGCCGTCACACCCCAGCCACCCACTCGTGCGCTTCCCAGGGCTTTAGCGCCCCCCACGGGTGGTTCCCGGGGCCCCCCTGTGGCCTGAAACCAAGCTCTTCCCCTGGGCTGACCACAGGCCCTGCCACCCCAGCTGCCCCTCCAACCGCAGCCAGCCCTGGCCTCCCCACACCGCCTCCGCGGTCTCCCGAGGCTCTCCACCCCTCCACCCCGGGCGGCTTTTACCATAATGGTCCCCACAGGGGCTGTGGGTCGGCTCTGCTCCGCTCTCCATTCCCCTTAAAGGGGAAGGTGGCCGAGGCCCCGCCACCTCCAGATTCAATTCACCTCACTCTGGCCACAGGACATCGTTTCAGCTTAATTTTATTTCCTCTTATAAATGGGCACAGCACGGGAAATGTTAAAAAATAAACCAAGAAAAATCAAACGAGAAAACAAAAACAAACCAGTTCCTTCCCAAGGCTGGACAGGCGAGCGCCCGCCGCGGGCAGTGCCTCGGTCTCCTCGTCCACGGTCTTTCTTCTGATTCTCCTTATCGAAAGTTTTGGCCATGACTCAGGACGGGTAGGGTTAATCACAGGTTACGGGGGAGGGAAAGGGCAGGGAAGGCCTGGGGAGGGAAGGACAGTCCCCCGCCCACCGCAGGCCGGGATCCGGGAGGGCTCTGTACAGGAGAAAGGGCTCACCAGAGGGGAGGGGACACTGTCTTCAGGTGGCTCTCTGGAGCCACACTGCCTACGAAAAATATTTACATGCATTGCCACGCTGGGCCCAGGTGCCCAGAGGTGCCAGGTGGGCACCCGGGAGATGCTGGGACCATCAGCCCAGAGTGGTGATTCCCAGAGCCCCGTCTCAGCGTCTCTGAAATCTGTACAGTTTGGGGGCTTCTATTTACAGGCAGGAGTCCCGGGGAGCAAGTCCAGGGTTGTGTAGTCAAAAGAGCCAGGAGAGCCACGGAGGCCACTCCTGCCCTGGAGGACAAGTTGGGTCCACTCCCTGGGGCCCAGGGCTCCAGCCTGGAGGCCTGATGGACAGGCTTTGCCAAGCCCAGGGGGTCTGGCCAAGCACCCAAGGCCCTTGCCACAGGGCTGCCCTGCCCTGGTGTCTCCAGCAATCTAGGACCCCTGGACAGACACAGCCTGGACTCTTGAAGTCACAGCAGAGGGGGGCCCACCCCCCATTCTCTGGCCGGCCCCAGCCTGCTTCACAAGAGCTCACGACCACACAAGCTCCCTCTCATTTGGAATGTGCTGTGCTTCCGGGAAATGCCAGATACCCTCCCAGGAGCACTGGGGTTCTGTGGACCCACTTGGCAGGCCCCACGTGTACCGCACCATACCTGGGCCGGGCCAGGACCCTGTGCCCACATTGCACTGAGAGCTCCAGCTCTGCCTGGCACCGAGTCCTCCTGGAGCTGCCCGCTCCCGCCCTCCTCTCAAGTGCTGAGGACACAGAGAACAGGGGCCAGGACACGAGGCCCAGCCCGCCGCCCTGAGCCAGCCCTCAGGAAGGGCTGGCAGGGCCGCCCCACCAGGGCGCCAGCCTGATGCAGAAGCTGTGGCCACTGCTGAGTCTCCGCTCAGTGCCAGCATCCCCTGGGCTGCCCAGGCCCTGTCTCCTCACACTCAGTCTTCAGTCTCAGCCCACCCAGGCCTCTCCCCAGAACTGCTGTCCCCAAGACAGCAGCCCACCAGGGAGCAGGTGGAACGAGGCTGGGACTCATGGTCCTCTTTGCCCCTGCGCCCTGCCCTTCCCTTCAGGACAACGAGGCTTGCCAGGCCTCGTGGGCCAGGATTCCTTCCCCACCTGTCCCTTCCTCAAAGTCTGGGCACTGTCTAGGCTGCCTTTGGGTCTACAAGATGGAGCTCAGCCTGAAAGCAGGACCCTGGGAAAGACAGGCTGCAGTGGCCCCTGGGACCCTCACCCTCACTGCCTCAGGCACGCCTGCCCTCACCCTGCGAAAGTCTGCTGCCAGGGAGTCTTGAAAAGGGAACAGAAATAAAACTGAGGTGGGTGTCTGACTTGAGTCTGGGTTGTGGGCGAGGGGTGGGGGTGGGAGCACCAGCCAATTACAACTCACACCACATCCCTGGGCTCCCAGAGCCCCCGCCAGGTGCTCCCTCCCCCAGACTGGTGACTGTACACTTCAAACTCCTATCAAAGGGCCCATCTTTCAAGGGTAACCAAAAAGGTGGCTTGGGACCTGTGACGGCACCACCACCCCAGTCACCTGCTCTACTCCCCCAAATCTCTGCCCTCGGAGTCGGGGGCACCTGCCTGGGCTGCTTCTGGCTGTAGCCACAACTAGTAGGACTCCAAGCAGGTCCCCAGGGAGGGCCCTGGGTGGGTGGGTGAGGTTGGCCTGGTAGGTCAAGGGCAGAGGAAGCAGAGGGCCTGGGCGGAGGGCCCACCCTCACAGGCACTTTGGAGACTTGTGTCCTGGGAGGCAGAGTTGCCCCCTAGCTCAGAGCAAGTAAAGGATTTGGGGAGAGCAGAAGCCATGCCACATGTCCCCTCCCCACCCAGGACTTTCCAGGACCCAAGAACCCTCCACAGTCTGGGGCCAAACTCCAGGAACCAAGCCCTTCTTTCTTCAGCCTTGGAGAAGCCCCAGAGCTCCGGGTGGTGGGGGCTGGCCCCAGCCGCCCTTTTGGGTTGGAGGTGGAGGGGTTGGGGGTGAGGCCAGGCCCGGCTCATGTACAAAGCCCTGGGAGGGCTTTTTCCAGTGCCCCCCACCACTGAATCCAGGAAAGACCAATGCCCTGATCCCTCCAGCATGAGCACAGGGATGTGGGTGAGGCTGTGTCCATGTGGGACTGGGTCTGGCACAGGGTGGGACGGAGGTGACGTGGCTGGTGCAGTGCCAAGGGGTGAGACTGAGTGTGACGGGGCGAGGCGGGGACCCAATATGGGCTGATTGTTCCAGCTTGACTCCACCTTCCCCAGTGCGCCCAGAAGCTGGAGACGACATGTGTGGTGTCAGGGTTTGTGTGGGGGAGGCATAAAAGAGAGAGGAGGCCACATGTCACCGCTCGGGTGATCAGGACTAGCCACTCGCCTTACGGTAGTGTCGGGGGCGGGGGGGTGTTTCAGCAATGGGTGAAGATAAACATCTTTGGAAGAATGTCTGTTTTTGCAACATGTCTTGATTGGTGGGGGGGTCAGGACCGTATATGACCTTGTCATTGCGTGCTTTTGTTTCATGAGTGGCCACATGACAATGTGTGGAAGAGTGTGGGCAACGATGTCTGTGGTGTTCCCCCAGGAGCGGCGTGCAGCAGCGTCCCCTCGCTAGTGGCTGCTCTCATGCTCTCTGGAAGCTGTTTTCTTGGGGGAGACACAGAAAGAGGTGAAGCCTTGGGCACAGGGGAGCTGGGCAGGGGGAGGGGAGAGTGGTCCCACAACCCCAGAGAGGCGAGGACAAAACAGGCTGGTGACAAAGGGCACCCTCTCACCCAGGCAGAGAGAGGCCCTGGGACAGGAGCAAGAGGTTGCTGTGTCTAGATTATTTCAAGGGCGGAGTCTGCCACATGTTGGTCCTGAAAGCCAGCCTGGAGTGCCTCTCTGCCCACAAAAGGAGACCTCAGCCAGCCCTGCAGGGCCAGGTGCCCATCTCAAGCCCCACCTCTTCTCCTTATTCCACCAGCCAATCAGGAGCTTCCTTCCTCCTGTCCATCTGACATAAGGTCCTGAAGCCTCAGGCTGGTGGGGGGACAAGAGATGAGCTCGTAAGGGCACAGTCTGGGGCAGACAGCAACCACCCCGGCTCCTCAGGGATGATCTGTGTGAGGCTGGCAACCTGGGCGGGCCTCAAGAAGGAGGGCAAAGGAGAACTGGGGCCAGGCTCCCTGCTGGGCCCAGTTCCAGGCCTGGTCTGGTGGGGCTGGCCGGGGACTGGGTGGAGGGGTGGTGTCGAGGCAGCAAGGAGGCACTGAGGCTCCGCTAGGCATAGAATTCCTCCTGCTTGTCAGGCTTCTGGTAGGTGACGCTCGCCTGCTTGGGCTCCTCCAGCGTGTAGCTGCCTTCGTCCTTCTTCTTCATGCGGTAGATGAGCAGCGTGACCAAGAAGGCAGCGAAGAGGGCACCCACGACCCCGCCCACAATCACGGCTGTGGAAGAAGAGGGCAAAGTCGAGGCTCAGAGGCAGGAGGTGAGGTAGAGGACCCCAAGCAGGGGACGGGGGCGGGGGGACTGGGAGTCCTGAATCTGCTCTCAGAGTCGGAGTGAAGTTGGAGTCGGTCCCAGCGTCGGTCCCAGCGTGGCTCCACTGTCACCCGTTCCATCTGCCTGACACTCTGATCCTTTCCTCCAGCCCTCTGGGGGAGGACCAGGTGCCACCCATCCAAAGATGCTCCAGGACTTTCAAGCTCCAGGGAAGAAAAAACTCAAGTGCCAACTAAACTATGGCCCTTCCCCGTCACAGCACTGACCTAACACCCTGACGGCCCAGGCTCCAGAGGAGGAGAGGGAGGCCTGGGGGCCACACCAGTGGGAGCCAGGATCTGGGTCACTAGTCTAGGACTCTGCAGCAGATGTGGCCAGCACAGGAGTGGGGGAAGGACAAGGTGGGACAGGGATTGGTGCTCAGGAAGTGAGGGCCCACAGGGCTGACCAGTGTGACCTGGGAAAGTGGGGTTCAAAGTCAGAGTCCAAAGAGGGGTCACAGGGTGGTGAGGAAGGTGCTGGAAGTGGAATAAAGCCAGGGTCAGACTCTGGGAAGGAGGAAGGTTGGGGAGAAGTTGGGACAGGCCCTGGGGTGGAGTTCCAGCCCTCACTTCCTAGCGGCTCCTAGGAAACCAAGCCCTGGCGTCCCCTCTTGGTTCCCAGAGGCACACTGAGGCCATTCAGCTGCCCCCACCCCACCCTGGGCAGAGCCGGGCCTCACCTACGAGCACCTCCTTCCGCTCCAGGATGCTCTTCTGTGGCAGCTGAGCAGCAGAACTGCCCGAGTCGATGGCATTGTCCAGGAGGCCAGGGCCTGGGCGGGCACCCTTGGGCAGTGTCCCTGGTGGAGGTGACGGCTTGGCCGCCGCCCCTCCCACAGCCACCACCTCATTGGCTGTGTCTGGCTGTGTGGTGTCTTCTTCCGGCAGCTCAAAGTCCCCGCTGGGGCCACCGCTCACTGGCACCTCTGGCTCATCCCGGATTGTAGTCAGGAAGGATTCTGGAGTTGGGGTCTGCAGAGAGGGTGGCATGAGCCCAGGAGCCACAGAAGGCCACCACTCCACTGCCCCAGTGGGCCAAGCCGAAGTATTCACTATGCTTAGTATGCAAAGCCTCGTCCTCATGAAAGTAGGATTATTACCACCAATTTATAGTGCAGGAGACATGCTCAGAGAAGTTAAGTAACTTGCTCAAGAACACATAGCTGATAAGTCGTAGGAGCAGAACTAAAATCTAGATCTATCCAGCCCCTAAGTCTGTGTTTCTAATCACTCTACAATGCTGCCTCTATTCTCGGTCTGGCCACATCCTGTCCCTATCCTGTCTCCATTACTTCCCCTCCAGCAGCTTTGGTAACAATCCTTGGGGGATTCCTGTTGAGAAGCTGCATGGGGACTGCCAGTGCAGGCGTATGAACTGGGCCTGGGGCAGGGTCAGTCCATTAGTCTGGTGGCCAGTCCAGAGCACAACATGCAGCATGTGATGCCCCTGGGGGACTGGTGTCCAGGGATCCAGCCCAGTGACTACAATCCTGATGGTCCCTCCACGTGGAGCAAGACCAGAGCCACGAGCCATGAGACCAGAGTGGGGGTGTGGAGCCCTCAGGGCGGGGCTGTGGCTGCGGGGCTGGTGGGCGAGGGCGGGCCCAGGGTCTGCAGGGAGAGGCCATGCGCAGAGCAACGCCTGCTGCGGCCTGGGCTCTGCCCTGCGTGGCCCCCCTTCCCGCCCGGCTGCCCCAGCTGCTTGGAGGAGCCAAGAGAGAAGCCCATGTCCTGATGGGGCTGAGGACTGAGCAACTGCCCTGACTTAAGGGCAGCTCCACAGCCCTCGGGTGCCTGTCTACGAGGCCAGCTGCACAGGGCTCTGTGCTTCTCCAGTGCCGCCGCATGCCCAGACCACAGCTCCCCGTTCCTGGCTACCTGTCCATCCCACATCCTTCTCTCTCCAGCCCTGACCCCCTTCCTAACACCCCAGACGCATGCCCATACAGGGCCTGGCCTGGACACTGCCTGGCCTCAGGAACCCACTCCCTGCAGGCTAAATCCTGCCTTGGAAAGCAGCTTCGCCTTCCTGAGCATCGGGGGACCCCAGTGCCCCCGGGCTGGGCCGAGGCTGCAGGAGGCGACATGAGACCCCGAGGCCCCTCCACAGGAAGCCCGTGTTCTGCTGCTCCTGCGGGCCTAAGCCCCCTCAGGCCAACCACAGCCATGACACGATGCCATCCAGAGACGTGGCAAGAGCTGAGCATTGACGGCTCCCCCTCGCCAGACGATGTTAACGCTCCAGCTCCGTCAGGAAGTTCAACCTCACAGCACTAAGAGATCTTCTGGTTTTTTGGTTTTTTTTCCTTTTCACAAATAAGTAAATAGACAGGATCAGTGACCAGCCTGAGGTCTCACCCTAAAAAGCTGCAGCAGAGGATTCAAAGCCAGGCTGCCGGGCTCCTGAGTCGCCGCTCTCAACCAGGACACCAGGCCCAGCCCCCCTCACCCACACACCCATGCCCAGTCCCTCCCCCGGGGAGTCCTGTCCCAGCATCAGGGCCCAACCCCCACCCCGGCTTCCTGTCCCTCTCTAGGCCATCGAGCTCCACCTCCGTCCCATCCTGTCCCTTGTGCCCAGCCTTGATCCTCTCGCCCTGTTGTACCGCCAGGCACCCTAGAACCTCCTGGCCCTGACCCTGCCCAGCCCCATCATGCCCTGTCCTCTCCCAGGCCCTCACCTGAGCCAACTCTGTGGGTCCAGGTGCAGTGGTCCCCAGGGGCAGGGTGCTCCTCTCAGTGACGTCAGGCTCCTGGGTGGTAGCCGGCCTCGGAAGGGCTCCTGGCCGGGAGGTAGCTACGGTGACCAGCCTGGGCGTTGGGGCCTCGGTGTCTAAGTCGGCCACCGTGGTCGGGGGGGAGGGCGCTGCTGGAGAGGTGGCCTGGGCTATGGCGGCTGTGGTCAGTGGGAGAGGCGGAAGCCTCCGGATGCCGGTGGTCCTCACAAGAGCAGTGGTGGCCGTGGCTGGGGATGCTGCAGGGATGCTGGGGGCCGCGGTGGCCTCAGTGGCGGGCACCGTGGCCACCGTGGGGGCCCCTGTGGTGGCGGCAGCGGTGGTTGCCGTGGTGGTGGAGATGGTGGTAGCTCTCTGGCTGGGCTCCTCTGGGGCCTCTGTCACCACTGGAGGGCTGGTGACAGGCTCTGGGGTGGGGCTCTCGGAGGGGAGCTCTTCAAACGGGGTGCCCACTGGCTGGACGTCCGTGGTGGGCAGCACAGCGGGCGTGGTGGACACAGCCAGGGCCACGTCGGGGCTGAACCGCATGGCCGTCTCAAGGCCCGACTCCTGCTCGAAGTCTGAGGGGGAGGGAGAGGGAGAGAGCTAGGGAGCTGGGCCACTGTGCGGGGCCGAGGACCCAGGTCAGCCACGCCACCAGGACGGGGACTCCCAACCCCCGCTTTGCCCGATTTCCCCAGGAAAACTTGAGGGAAAGGTGAAGGCCGGCCTGGCCACTGGTGGCTGAGCCTGCCCAAGTTCTCTCCGCCTGGCCGGAACTTTCCTACTGTCCAGCCTACCCGGCCCCGGGCTTCATCAGGTTGAGGCCGGGCGGGGGCAGGGGAGACCCTACTGGCTGCAAATCTCCCTGAGGACTCAAGAGAGAAGAGGCGTCTGGGAAAAGCTATACTCCCGGGCACACGCCCAGCCTAAGCTCACCAGCGGGCACCTCAGGGGGCCCCAGGGAGCCCAGGCACGGGGTGAAGGAGGCCTCCTGTAGGAGTCTGTCTGCACCACGGGGCTGAACCAGGGTGGATAAGTGAAGGAACCGGAAGGAAGTGAGGCGAAGGAGCAAGCGGGGTGGGGAGCAGGAAGAGCAGGACCACAGGGGGCTCCCAGCAGGCAGAGAAGGCAGGAACCAGGGAGAGCCCTGAATGGGCTGAGCCACCAGGCAAGGGGCTGGGTTTGGTTTGAGGTTAACATGGAAGAGTCTTAAAGGAATGGCTCCAGGGAGCCCAGAGGCCCGGCCGTGGCAGCCAGTCCACAGCACGGACCTCATCCCGTCTCATCCACACCGAGTCCCTCTCTGGCTGATCCCAGCCCCCTCTTCAGGTCATTTCCAGAGCTCCTCCTCCGCCAGACCCGCCTCCTGGAGCCGGGGGGAAGACGGTGTATTTCTTGCCATTTACAGGTGACCCTAGGGACGCCCCAGGAGGCGCTGAGTGAGGGCGTGCGGCTGGCTGATCAGGGGTGACTGGGAAGGACCTGCCCAATCTCACAGCTCGCCTGCCCGAGGGCAGGGCCTGCAACCCACTGTCTGACCAGCCCTTCTTCAACCTGCCCCAGCCCGACCCTTGGACACAGCTGTTTGGATCCAAGAGGACCATGTGGCCCAGTGTTGGCCGATCAAACCATCCACGCGGAGGACGTGCCAAGGCCACTGAGGAGGGGCTGAATCCCTTCAAGTGGTTGAACAGGGTCATGAACAGGGTCACTGAGGAGTGCTTCCTGACATGGGCTGGAGGGCAGGGTCTGCAGGGCTGCAGAGAGACCCCAGCAGCACATGCAGAGGCCCCTGAGACCAGGGAGGGCCGGGGCCGAGCGCCCTCTGGGGAGGATCCTCTGTCCTTCTCCTTGGGGTCCACCAGACAGCCCCGCATGACCTCCACACGACAGGAGGACCCACTGAACAGGCTCCTGGGGATGGGACAGGCAGGGATTCAGGGGAGGTACTTACAGCCTGAGCCTGACCCTGAGTAGAGGTCGTCCAGTTCATCATCTGGGAAGGAGTCATCGTCCCCAGAACCCTCCAGGTCCACGGGCCTCTCAAAGTTCTCGCTGCGCCAGCGCTGAGCCTGGAGGACAGAGACAAGCACCGGTCAGCACCCAAGGCCAGCAGCCTGGACACACCCAGAGGGAGCACGGGCATTGTGGAGAGCTGAGGGACATCTCCTGGGCAACAGAGAGCTGAGGCCTACTGATGACCGCTTCCCAATTGCTCAGGGGCAGGGCATAGCCCCATCTCCTGCCTGATGGCCACCAAGAGGGACCCCTGGCTGCTCTCTTCCCCCTGAATGGAACCCCCGGATGTCAGAACTGGGTTTAGAGCCGGCAGTGCTGGATCTCAGTCCTGGCTCCATCATCTACGAAGTGTGGGACCTTGGGCAAGTTCTCTAACTCCTTGTGCCTCAGTTTACCCACTTGTAAAAGACACAAAGAGCACCACCTCACCCAGCTGAGGGCACACTGCGCTGGGGTTAAGCAGCACCACATGCACCAAGCCGGGCTTGGCAGAGGCCCAGCTGGCCCCTGGCAGCAGCAGAAGCCCCTCACAGATGCCGGCCAGAAAAAGCCCCAGGTACAAAGGGCATCAGCCTAAGACACAGGTGGGGACTGAGGGCTAGCTGCCCCAGGCCACCGAGAGCAGGGGATGAGATCTAGAGATCCATCTTCTGCTTGGGACGCTAAGTGGCATCTCTAATTCCCAAAGGCAGGGTAAAGAGCATCATCAGAGACATGGGTGTCAGGGTGTTGGGGAGCGATGGCCTTGATGGGGAGGAGGCAGGGAGAGGGGGGACCAGCTCCAGCCCTGGCCCTGAGTCTTCCAAAGACAGGAAGTTAGCTCCCTGCCCTGACCCACCGCCTGCGATCTCGAGGCCCACCTCTGGGGCTCAGGCGGTGGGAGGGGCTTCTCCAAGGGTCCAGCACCTGGGGCCTGACTCCTCCGAGATCATCTCTTCCCCAGCCCCTGTGGCCCTGGGCTTGGAGCCAGAGACCCTCAAAGATGGGCGGGCGGGGGGTGCCCTGGCTCGGAGGCCCTGCCCCAGCCCTGGGAGCTTTCACAAGAGACTGAGATGAACTCCTGGTGCCCGGACATGAAGGGCAGAGCATGTGAGTCTTCTGCACTTCAGATCAAGAGAGAGAGAGGCCTGTCCACAGGAGGAAGGGAAGAAGCAAAGCTCCAAGGTGGGCAGTGCAGCTGGTGCCCGGGAGCCCTCAGTCTCACCAGCGTCCCCCCCTGCTCCTGGACTAGGCCAGGTCTGCCTCCTTCACTGCTGCTGTTCCCTCCCCTCACAACACTCTCCCTTCCACCCCCTTGTCCTCCGACTGGGGCTTTCTTTTTTTTTTGCAGTACTGAGGATTGAACCCAGGGATGTTCTGAGCCATACCCATATTTTGAGGCAGGGTCTTGCTAAGTTCCTGAAGATCTTGATAAATGGTTGAGGCTGGCCTTGAACTTGCCATCCTGCCTCAGCCTCCCAAGCCGCTTCGATTATAGGCACGCACCACCATCCCCGGCTCCCAGGTGGCTCTGAGGAGCCCTCCTACTTGAGCTTCCAGAGCATCCTGGGCTCCGGATTCACAGCTCAGATCCACCGTGAGCTGTGTTTGCTTGGGGCGTCTCAGGGGCTGTGCTAAACTTGGTGAAGACAGCGGTGCTGTCTGGTTTGGCAAGGGGCCTGGCCTGAGAAGGTTTCAGGACACATTTGTTAAGGATGGAATTGGAGTTAGAAGAGGTGACGGGTTCACTGGGCAGGGGAAGGGCAGGTTGGGGCTGGAGCTAAGGCTGGAAAGACAGTGGATGCCCAGCCTCCAAGGTCTCCAGTGCCTGAAGGGCAACTTTCTCTTAGAAATTAGTGGTTTTTTCATCCCGATGGCACATCAAAATATGGTGAAGGCTGAACCCAGGGCCGGTGGCTCTCAGGCAGGGCCTGTGCATCTGCAATGTTTGGCTGGCAGTGGGAGCCACGGAAGGTGTGTGGGCAGGAGGGGGCCGGGCCTGGCACCACACAGCCCCGCAGCGCACGCGGAGCCCCGGGGAGGCTCTCCATCCTGGCTTCCCACCCCTGACTCACCACCTGCACCAAGGCCCCACCGAGCCCAGCCAGGCAGGGAGCCAGGAGAGGCCCCCTCACCACGCACACCCCAGACACATCTCGAGGTAATGAATTAATCAGTATTTACTTTCTACCAGTGAGTCATGGAGTGGGACAATTAGTGTAATTGCTCCCGTGACTAATTGCTGGTCTTCCCCCTTTGTAGAGATTCCAGGAGCCCAGAGCAGCCAGCTCCCACTTCTGCCCAGAGGAACAAATCCCCAGACCCAGGCTGACGAGCCAGCAGGCCCCCACCTCCAGCTCCACACGCCGGAGTCCTGTGGAGGCTGCTCCTGTCCCTGCAGTTCAGCCTGAAGTCACATGCAGAACGGGGAATGAGCAGGGACAGGACTCAGGCTCCTGCTCCCGGACAGGGCAGTCCCCACTGTCTGTCCATCCTTCCAGGCAGGCCAGGGAGTGACCGGGAGGCCCTGGGCTGGAGGAGGGATCCTAAGATGGGAGTAAAGGTGGGAGCCCAGACGGGGAGTCCCCGAGATTCCTCAGTGACCAGTGCCACACACCAGGTCTCCAGAAACCTGCAGGACAAAGACACCCCCCAGACACCTTCCAGAGCCACACAGACCCTGGAAATGACACACCAGAGCCACAGGGAGACGGCCTGACACAGCCTGATACACACTCACCTAAAGACAGCCACAGAAACACACCTTTGGGTACACACAGGCTCGGGCACAGGGAGACGGGGCGGGGCGGGGGTGCCACGCAGTTCTGAGGCTCAGACAAGCCTCGAGCCTCCTGCGAATCCATCGCCTCCACTCAGGTAGCTCTCACCTAGATACTATTCATCCCTCGCTCAGTAGCCCTGACATGACAACTGTTACCATGACGACCATCTCCTCCACGCTAAGGACCCGGAGCTCCGGCTCCCCACAGAGACGGGGGAGAGCACAGGAACAGGGGACGGCGGGGAGGGGGAGGGGCGGCAGGGACAGAAAGGCAGAGGACAGAGGGGGGCAGGAGCAGAGAAAGGGACAGAGGGCAGGCTAGGGCGAGAGGGAGAGAGGCGCGAGTGGAGGGGACGGAGACAATTCTCTCACATCTTAATTTAGCCTCACACTGATCAGAGGGACTGGGAAGGGGCGACCTGGTGACTTTCCAAACCGCAGGCAAGAGAGCAGTTCTCCCCGAATACCAAACAGCCCAGCCCCCGGGGTGGGGAAGTGGCCAGCACCACTCACCCTGGGGTGGGGGGCCGGGGTTTTGGACTTAATGCCAGGTCACCGGGGACCTAGGGGGCGGGGCCTCACAGGAACCCAAGGGCAGCTGCCTCCTGTTCCAGGGGGTGGGGGACAGAGAGGAGGGGGCAGGGAACAGCCAGGGAAATCCTTAGAAGTCAAAGTGCCTGTGGAGAAGGGTGACAAACAGCCCTTGACCCCTAAATGACCTCTGCATTTGCATAATTTCATGCATAATGAGCATAATTACCCATGCCATTCCCTTAAAGAAAAACGGAATCCAAATGTTCCAGGACCCCCGGGGACTCTCCCTGCCTCCCCAGATAAACTCACCCTGCTGTGCCCGACAGGAGGCGCCCACACCCCCACACCCCTCCACACACACCCACACCCCCCACACACAGCAGCGGGTAGACGAGGGGCCCCACACCCTCATGCCCACACCATAAGCCGCACGCACCCGCACCAATCGAGAGCACCACTGCCACCCACCTGTGCACCCCTAGGCCTGTGGGTGACCCAGCCCCACCCTGCAGGCGCCTGTCCGTCTCCCACAGCCCTGGCTGCACCCGCACACCTAGGGCTCTCACAGATGCACCCTGTCCTTGCACACCCACAAGGCCCCCCTCAGCCTCAGCAAGGACTCGTGACCCCACACCCACTCCCAGGGCCCACGCTGACCCACCCCAGGCGCATGCGTGCCCCTGGCCACACACCGCCCCCGACTCGGACCAAACCCTACAACTCAAACATAAGCTCCTCTCCCCCCACACCCACCACAGGCACACCCCGCGCCCAGGGAAGCCCCACTTCCTCCTCCCGCCACCGCCAACCCGAGGGAGTGGGACAGTTGGGACAGTCGGCGGAAGCTCCTCTGTGCAGCTGCTGGGGTCTGAGCAAGGGCCAGGGAGCCGAGGCCCCGGGCCCAGGAGACCCCTGCCCACCATTTAGCTAAGGGCGGCCAGCCCAGCGCACTGCTGGACTCGGGTGCCAACTAGGACGTAAGCACAGGTCCTGGTCTCTGGCACCCAGACCCACTGCTGGTCAGCCACGTCCCCCACAGCCATGCCAGCAGCCACCTGCGTCCCACCACCCGCTGCCCACAGGCGCCTAAGTGTCTCCAAAGGGGCACTTGCCCAGGGAAGCCCACGGTTCCCGTGCCCCAGGGCCTCCCCCACCCTGCGCCCGGCCTGCACCTCGCACACTCTCCTGGGCGCACACAGGCGCACACTCCCCGCAGCAGCCCAGACGTGGCGTCCTTCCTGAGACTGACACCCCCACGTGTCTCCTCAAGCCTCAGGCAGCACCCACCTAGAACCACCCCACAGCTCGCCCAGAGGCCCTCGGGCTCCCCTCCCGGAAGGGACCAGGCCCAGCAGTGACCAGCAGAGCCCCTGTCCACACCCACTGCCCCCGGACCTGTCCACAGAGATTCAGAGCAGCTGGGGAGGCCGGCTGGGTCCCCAGGGCCCAGCAAGGAGGTGTCCTCTCCCAGGACCACCCACCAGGGCTGGCTGGGGGCCCTGGCCAGCGCCCCGCTTCCTCGCACTCACGGCCCTCAGTCCCCAGGCCCTCCCAGCCGGCTCCAGATGCCTGGGGTCCCTGAGGCCCGACAGCCTCGAGCCTTCCGGGGACAGCAGCCGGAGCAGAGTGCAGCACGGCCTCCCGGCTCGGCCGGCAGGGGCTGTCAGGGCCGCCCAATCCCTGGCACCTCATGCTGCCGCCTGTGAAATGGGGTGATAAGGAGGCAGCAGCTCACGGAGAGGCCGAGAGGACT